TTATGGGATGTTAAGACAGGCTAATAAAAAGCCAAATTAGATGGTCATTCATCGACAGTAAGGTCAATCAATTTCTCTCCTGATGGTATTATATTAGCATCTGGTAGTTATGATATGTCTATTGGTTTATGGGATGTTAAGACAGGAGAATAAAAAGCAAAATTAGATGGTCATTCAAAAGGAATTCTATCAGTCAATTTCTCTCCTGATGGTACTACATTAGCATCTGGAAGTGATGATTTCTCTATCCGTTTATGGGATGTTAAGACAGGATAATAAAAAGGCAAATTATATGGTCATTCAAATTGGGTAACTTCTGTCAATTTCTCTCCTGATAGTACTACATTAGCATCTGGTAGTTCTGATAACTCTATCCGTTTATGGGATATTAAGACAGGATAATAAAAAGCCAAATTAGATGGTCATTCTGGAACTGTTTATTCTATCAATTTCTCTTCTGATGGTACTACATTAGCATCTGGTAGTTCTGATAACACAATCCGTTTGTGGGATATTAAGACAGGATAATAAAAAGCCACATTAGATGGTCACTCAGGAACAGTTTATTCAATCAATTTCTCTCCTGATAGTACTGCATTAGCATCTAGTAGTTCTGACTACTCTATACGATTATGGGATGTTAAGACAGGATAATAAAAACCAAATTAGATGGCCATTCAAATACAGTTACTTCAATTTGTTACTCTCCTGATGGTACTACATTAGCATCCGGTAGTTATGATAACTCAATCCGTTTATGGGAAGTTAAGACAGCAAAATTTAACCCTTAAACAAATTCAAATAATGTTCTTCTAGAAAGTGGTATTATTTTTCACTATTGGTTAGCCACCTCTTATATTAACATTCTTAAAATTTCTGAGAATCCCAATTTAGAAGCTTAAGGAGCTTTAATCTTGAAAGGATAGTTTGTTGATTATTAAGGATATGATTTAAGATCATTATTTAAATCTAAAGGTAGTTTGATTTTAGTGAATGAAGCAAAATAGAAACAAAATTGATCTTTATTTACAAAGCCATTTAAAATATGCGTTATCAATTTAATTTTAATAATTTAGTTGTTATATATTAATGTATACTTTGCCGATTAGTGTAAATTTTTATGGTATTATTTGTTCGTAGGAAATCAGTATGCCTGATTTCAAAAATTCTTCAGCTTAGAAGATATTTGATTTTCAAAAAACTTTACACATATATATAAAATTAATATAACCTATTTCACCTTATAGAAATAATATATATAAAAGTTCGAAAATATGACCATGGTTACTAAAGAAACATAAAAGAAATTCAATACATTATAATCAAATTTGAAAAAAAATTGAACTATTAAAATGATAAAATTTATGCAGATGAGAATACTTTATTGGAAATAATAATGATGCTTAAGGTTAACTTGGGACTTTTAAAAATGGAATTGCAGTTTATTTTCTACTTTTTTTAATTTCACCATAGAGATATCTTTTTTATCTTTAACCATTTATCCTTAATTAAAAATTAGTATTCTTAAATATATTTAATTAGTAACTCAACTAATAATATTTTCTCTAATTTTTTACAGAATAGAAATGATTTTAAGTAGAGTTCTTTTTGGTAATTACATTCGCATATATTATTTATAGTTAATACTATAAAAATTAATTATTATTGTATTTGGATAGAAAATCTGGCTTGGACTTAAATTTGAAGTGAGGAAAGCAACAGTAAATCCTTTCATTTTGTCCCTTAAAATGATATTAATAAAACTTATTATTTTTATATTTTAATATATCAAAAGTCACTTTAGAAACTGGCAAACACTTTAGCAAGTATCATTTTGCATAGGTTATTGTTTTTTAAATTAAATGAAGAATCTGGCGAAAGATTTAAATTCCTCATCAAAAAACTGATTATACATAATAACCTCTTTAGGCTCTTCTACCAACTTCAAATAGCATAATTTTTTCTTTCCGTATGATCACTTTCTATTTTTATAGAGGTTATTGGAATCGATCTCTTTTCTAGAAAAGAAAACGAAGAAGATTTCCTGATATATAATCTTTACTTTATCTATTTTTTGTAATATTTTATATTTATCACTTATTCTACATATTTTTCTTGAGTCAATTATTTTTAATTTGCAACCCTAATTTAGTTTATACTATGATTACTTCAAATCTTTTCCTGCTAGTATATAAACTCTGGCTTTATATAAATTATATCCAACTGATTTTTTTGAGCTGTCATCCTTATCATTAACACACTTTCTCTATCTATGTTTGGGCATGCTTCTGCACAATATGACTCTTTTCAAATACTCTTTATTTAACTTTTAAGACTTTTTTAGAAATTTTTTTAGCATATATATAAAAATTTCAATCAACATTATTCTGTTCTCTCCTATCATAAGCAACTTATATCTAGCACAAGATCACCATTAAATAGAAGTCCTTTCTGGCTTAGCATATGAATAGGAAAAGAAATGAATACAAGAAAGAGATGATTTTTTAATAAATCATTTTATTTTTTAAATCCACGAATACTTCATATATTCTTTTATTATCAATTTTTCATTTCTAAATTTATTTCCAGCATAGAGTGTGCAATTATTTGTATAATCCAATTTTTTAACTGTTCTGTTGCCATTTAGTAATATATTGATATATTGTCAAATTAATATTCTTGAGCTTCTTCATAATCAGCTTATGCTCCTTAAACTAAGAATTTCTTTATGTTTCCACCTATAATAACTTTAAAGGGTATCTTTGGGTTAATCTAAATATCCAATCTTAAATTTTATTTCTATAACAACTCTTAACTTTATATAATCACCTTTACTTTGAACTTATACTCCTTTATAAAGAAACTGATTCATAAATTAAATTAACTTCCTTTTCAATTAAAAATAAATTATTGATTAAATGCATTGGGATAATAAATAAACAAAATTCAAGTAATAAAATAATTTTTGATAGTTAAATCAACATATTAATTAATGAAACGCTAAGTTAAAATATGAGCGTTTAGACCTTTATTAAGAGAAAATTTGAATTTATTTGTAAAAGGCATAAAATAAAAAGATTTACTGCTATCAAAACAATTTAGGCAAAAAGAATTAAATGGACGAAATGTCTTAATGTATATAAATCAATTATATTATGAAATCTATAAATATTTTGATTCAACCTATTTTGTTAAGTAGTTTGGTTCTATTAAAATTGATATAACAATTAAAACATAATATAATAGTATAGTCTAAGGTATTATGTGGAAATGAATTATATTTTACCAAATTAAATAACTAAGTTAATCTATAGAAAATAGGTACTAAAATAAATGCAAATAGGCATTGTAGAAAATATTTTATACAAAATTTGTATTTCTAATTGCATACGCTCATTAATTCATAAATTAGTATTTATAAATAATATATAAAAATGGATTTTAAATTAATACTTCTTAAAAAATTGGTCATTTCATAAAAAGAAATTTTTTCCTACTTTTTAATTCTTGCTGTTTTTTATTATGTATTTCAGATTATGGAAAAGAATATTTATTAATTTAAATGATTGGTGAATTACACATGAAAATGAATTTGCAGCTTTTCTTAATAAGCAATATTCTTTCATGTTGATCTTGATTTTGCAAATATTTAAAATTTTTAAATCTTTTATTTTTCCCTGTTTACATATTATTTACTTCATTTAATTCTAAGCTTCTCAATTATTTTTTATAATTTGCAGAATGCAAAATTACTATTATACCTTTTGTGTATATTACTAATTACTTTTAAACTACTCTATATAATGATGACCATAATAGATGAGGGCAGATGTTCTGTGTGTTTGATATTAGTATATGGTTATCATAATTAAGGTTGTTTTATATTGTACATTTTTTTTATTTTAAACAAAATTTTTTTATACGATTGCTTGATATAACTTGTATTAGAATCTACAACTCAGAAATGAAGATTAGGAAAAAAAGGTATAGGATTAAGAAAAAAATGAAATCATATTTATCAGAGGCAAGTACTAAAATAGATGTTGAATATTAAAATAATTGAAGATATTTGTTGTTTAAGAATGACTTATGAAAGTTCTGGCTTACAGATTCTAATATAGATATAAAGGGGATCTAACTTTGAAAGAAGTGCATATGATATCCAAACTCTTTAAGATTATACACTTCTGAATTCTAACAATTTTTGAAAATCAATATATTGCTCTAATATTAAGGAGAAAAACTTTAAGTTATCTGCTGTGGTTAAGGAAAGTTATATAAAAAAAAATAGGGTTTGGAAGGCAATTTTAAGCATAGTTCTTTGATAAGCTCCGAATTTTACCCATTCAGAAGTTGTCATTTATATAATTATTATTCAAATATTGTAGAATAGCGATAGTTATAGCAAATATTCTTAGTCTTGACTCAATAGAAAATTTGGAAGGTACCCGAACAAAAAGTCTTCAGCTAAATAATTATATAATTTTAATAGAAAATCTTTCGAACAACATTTATTTTAAAGCAAGAGATTTAACCAAATGATTTAAATGATATATTAATATTTCTAATACCTTGTGTTTTTCCTGTGTATATTAATAAGCAGTCAGGAAATCTCTAAGAAATGCGTTTGTGGACATGCTCGCAGTTAAACTCAATGTGAAAATTCTAGTTTTTGCTCTTGGTAGAAAGAAGTTTGTGTTTTAAGCCCTGCTCGATCATATATTGAAGAGAATTAGAATGAGAGCGTGTGTAAAAAGTTAGCAGAAGAAGATTGTAAAGTAGAGAAGTAATGTGAATTATATTTGGGGAAATGTATTAGCTTTGTTGATTGTTCCTTTTTCAATAATGATTAATGCTAATAATCATCCTTTAGATGCATTTCTGATGGTGCAAAGTGCGTTAAAATATTGGAATGCGACAATTATAAAACAGAGGTAGGGTGTGCAAATAAAAATTAAAATGGCAGATATTGTTTTTGGATTTAGAAGATAGAAAAAAAGTGTAGAGATGTTGTCATTTGTGAAGAACTACCAAAATATTTAGTGAATCATGCCATGTGTAAATCAGGGTTAGATGGCTGCACAGTAAATGAATAAGGCTAAGGATGTATTTAATAAAAGGATTCATGTACTCAATACTTCAATGACTTTTAATGTTTTGAAAGCAAATAAAGAACAGAAAATTGCTTTTGGGATTCTAAAAATCACAAATGTTTTGAAAAATTATGTGAAAATCTACTTTTTTCTTAAGATTATGAATGTAGTTCTTTGTTGAGTGAATGTACATCAAATGGAATTCATTGTATATAAAGAAAGCAATGTAGCGATGCTTAGAATAAATTTGGTTGTGTTACTGACGCCTAAGGAAGCAAATGTGAATACCATAAAAATGAATGTAAAATCAAAAGCTGTGACACTGCTCCAGAATCATTGACAAACTATCAACAATGCTAAGATTATGACAATTTGTTAGATTGTGTTACTTCTGAACATGGAGGATGTAAATAGAGACCTTAAACATGTTAAGCTTATATTGGTTAAGTAGATTGTTATTCAATGGAATAATAAGATTGTATATGGAATAACGATAAATGTGAAAAAAGAGCGTGTTATCATGCTCCAATTCATTATAGTCAAGCAGATTGTTAGCAATACGGAAATTGTATAGGTAAAGCAGATGGTGGATGTGAACAGATACCTTATACTTGTGATGAAATTTTATAAGAATAATTTTGTGAATTTAATTATTATAAACAAACTTGTGTTTGGCTAGAAGGGAAATGCACATTATTAGAATGTAATAATTTGAAATTTCCAACTTATAATAATCATACAAAATGCTAAAAGGCAAGTTAATAATGCACATTCAATTTAGAAGCTATGGGATGTGCGGAGTATTAATGTGAAAATATTTATGAAAGTGAATTTTGTTTGGTTGATTCAACTGGAACAGTTTGC